GCTGCCACCTCCAGAGGTAGCTTCTGCTGTGCTCTAGATGAGGGATGGTTGGTTTACATCATCTATAGGAATTATTTCTCACTCCCAAGTTTTGCTACTTGCTGAATTTCTTCAAGAAAGAATGCATATAATTTACATAATGTAAATGGAAAAACAATGAACTAATATTTTTTTTTAAAAAGCCATAATTGCAAGCCTGTAATTCCAGATGAGTCTTCAACATTACAAATCACAGCTGAACAAAGTATCCAGACACTTAATTGGAAATTCAGTTCCTCCTAATAATATATTAATCCCATTCAGCCTGTCCTCAGCACAGAGGAAGATTGGGTATCATTACTGATTACTTATGCAAGGTAGCCTGCTAATAGAAAAGGGATTAAAATATTCTCTTGCTCCTACACAATGAAGGAATTCATTGGCACAAAGGTCGAATTCAAATCTTGAGTTCATTGGGTTGTCAGTTGAGTTCATTGTCTTGAAAGACAAAAGTATTGATAATGGAAAAACATGGAAAAAAGCAGAAATGTTGCCCTTTGTGTTCCACTGGATTCTTGAGTGTTCAGAAACTGGATATTCTTTGATTACCAAACGACAGTGTGTTGCCAGGAAAAAAAGCATTTCTCTTTCATTTCTTCCCTGATAGTGCCAGATACAGTTTTCCTTCTAGGTCCTTTCACGCTGAAACCCAAAAGGCTTTTGATTTGAATGCCGCTTTATGACAAGGACACGTTAGAGGACCGGTTTGAAGATGAAGTTCTGCCGAAGCTATGATCAGCTATTTAAAGTTTCCAGACTACTGTTTGTTTTTATGAGTTGATACTTCTGCGGTATTTGTTGTAACATGAACATAATTTCCACAGTCACTGAATATGCCCTAAAGAAATTATCTCCATATCTAGAGTTATTTATGAACTGTGTCTAGAAAATGAGTATGCTTTTTCAGAAGGAAAAAGAAGTTGTCCTTACTGATAGCAGAACTGAATAGAAGTTGAAAGAATAAACCACTGATTAACAAATGCTTTTTTTTTCCTTTTTAAAAAACATATACATATTCTTATGCAATTATGAGATTTTATTGACAGTAAGAATACGATGCTCCCAGACTAGCAGAATGACACTGCCAGTGTAAAGTACCAGAAATAAAATGGTTGTGATTGTTTTAGTGCAGATTTTGATATAAATCAGTCTCTTTAAAACGCTGGGTTTTTTTGCACGTGTCCGAATGCAGCATATAATACGCTGACTATTAAAACTTTTTGCCTCCTCTTACACCGCTCTCTTACGATGTCGTTTGTGTTTAAAAGCAGGGTTTTCCAGCTAAAAACCCCACAGCCGCAGCTCTTTACTTCAGTGAATTGCGTGTGTTGGGGTAACCTTCTAACGCTGTGGTTTGTTTCCCAGGGGAGGCAGGCGCCGGCAGCGATGCGGGGCTGGGGGGCCCTGGGCAGCCCCCCCCTCCCCTCCCAGGTACGGCTCCTGCCCAGGCAGCGCATCTCTCTCTGCCTTACCCGCCGGCTCCACGGCCACCCCCCCGCGGGTTTTTGTCCACGCGTGACGCCTCCATTCACTGCCATCCTCCATCCACCGAGTGGCACTGTTGTGTAGAGAGAAAAAAGCAGCTTCACACCATCGCTCCTCGGCTGTGCTGTGTGTGGCCCGTCCCTTCCATCCCCTGCACGCCAGCATCCCTCTTCATGAAACGTGTATTTGCCTTGTGCCTTGTAGTCCGTTTCACACTTTGTCAGGTGGGACAATTCAACCATCAGCATCTCTCTTAGTTGCGTTACTTCCCTGTTGTTACATTCGAGGCAGGTATTTTGAGCTGAGCGCCTACTTTAATGCAGGAGCTTACCTGCCTTGGCCTGGAATAACAAGCATACGGATTAGTGTGATGAAATGGTTTGAATAAATTTTAAAAGTGCTGGAAGCCTTTGTTCCCGTTTCAGTGCAGGAGAAAAAGGGAAACTAATTTATCTGAAAAGTTTTATAAAACTCCTATCATTCTTTTTGCAAATTTTAATACTCTACATCCTGACTGTAGCAAATGCAGAGTAATAGATGAGCAGATCTGAGTGGTTTTGAATTATATATTGTGCCTTACTTCTGTTCTTCTTGGTATCTTTGTCCCTGCTTTCCTCATAACTATGAAAGCTGTTCTTTTCTCTGCAGGGACCAAACAGAATGAGCCATCAGTTCCGTATGCCTTTGGTGTGTCTTCCTCTGATTTTTCATATATTTTAATAGAGACCTCCAAAGTTCATGGTTAACTCCCCTATAACTTAACTCAAACTCAGTAAGACCTGAAGCTTGCTTTTCTTTAATTGTAAGTCTTCTCCATTCCTCTCGTCATCATCTTTCACTTTATTATAGGTCCTTATTATAGATCACATTACATTTAAACTTTCCCTCTTCTTTTCAAGACATTGCATGTCTCCACCCTCTGCCCTGCCAGCAATACCAACAGTTTGGTCCCTTTTCCCACTACCACATCCATGTATTTTCCAAATGGTTTTGAGGCAGAGCATTTCTCACCCTGGGGTCAGCCCCAATATCGTTAGCAACAGACAAGTAGTGGGCCAGTTAGAAGCCAGCACATGGAGGTAACGCTGATCCTTTTTGCCTCAGAAGTGGATGTATTTTTAGTGCATGAAATCCTGTGCATCATTACTGTGAACTATTTACGCATTTTAGTGTGCATATATTATTTTTTCTTTGAGACATCATGTGCAGTAATGTGTTCTGACTGCTGCTTATGTCAGGAATATTTGGCTATTTGTTCTGTGTGCCTCATAAGCATTTATTTGATTTCCATGCTTGGGGTTTCTTCTGCCTGTTTTCATATAGGCTTTAGGACCTTCTGGTATACGCTTAGATGGTCAGAGATTAGAGTTCTCTAATCTTCTTTTAAGGAGATATAATGTTATTTATCTGAGATTGGTAGAATGAACAGAGGAAAATGAGACTTTTGATTCAGTGATGTTCTCAGGTTGCTGATTAAGCTGCTAAAGAAGAAGGAGATGAGTTTGGTTAGTTATTAACTGTAGTTTATTGCGTCACTTTACACATTTTGATTCTACATGGAAGGTAAGAGTTCTGGTCTTTTTTTTCTTTTTGCCTTTTTTTCTGAGGAATAATCCAAAATTAGCAACTCTCGCGACTGACCTTTTTGTTAAGCTATTGAGTGAGGAGAACATACCACACTGCTTACTAAGAAAGATGTGGAATCATTATGACAGACAACAGAGAAGATACAAATGGCATTTTGTGTAATCCTCCCAGATCCTGAAATCTCTGCATTGGTGCTACAGTCTTATTTCCAAAGTTGCGCGAGGTTGTTAATGCCTCAGAAATCGGTGCACACATAATGCATCTGAAGGACTTCAAAAGCATCATGGTGACTTCAGTTACATGTTCTTGCAGCAGCTCCACTAAACTTCTGGGTTGGTAAAATGATAGGTGGCTTTTTTGTTACATTAGGGAAAACATGTATGATTGGTGTGACTTGTCTTTCAGCTTTCTTATGTACAATTGTAAAAATGATGACTCCTCTGGAAATTGGAAAAGCCTATTACAATTCAAGAGTTCTGCTTTATGATTTGCAACACTGTAATTATTCATAAGTGCTATTCTTTCTGTCTTGCTTAATTCTTAATCACATCCCCAAATAATCCATGTCACAGTGCTGTTCACAGGGTTGGAGTCAGAATAAAAATTTAGTGTTTCCTGATGGTAATTTTCTCAGATTCGCTTATTCATGCAGAAGGATCAGATGCATCCTAAGCTTTCTTCTTACCCATGTATAAAACATACAGAAATCGTATTTTTATCACTTCTGTTTTACTGCATCTCTGTCTTACTTTCATTACATCTTGTATTGCTTTTGTTTTTCATCTTCATTTTATTTTTTAGTCCGTAAGAACAAGATTAGTCAAAGCTCTTAGAGTTCTTTGAGCAAATTCCCTTTTAGGACAGTTGTATTGTTCTGTCCACAAAACCTCAGCTATACATATTTCTTCTCTTGTTTGGTTATGCAAGTAGTTGCATATTCCATTCTTCTAAACTGTGATCCATCTTTTGAAGTTTGGCTGTTTAGTATGCAAAGCAGTGGCCATAAGGATAGTTCTCTGTCTTTTCAATTTCCTATTGTATTTTGGACTTCTTTTATTTAGAGCTGAAAGACAGAATATAGAAAAAAAAAAATCCTTACAAATCAATTTTCCATCATTTTACCAAGCTGTATTATTTCACATGCATGGATTCCTCAAATACGTTTCAAGTATCCCTCTCTCAATGTTATCTATGAAATTTTACCACGGAATCTGCTTATTTGCAGGTGAATTGGGTTAAGCACAGGCCATGCAGTGGATGAGTATGTGAAAAACATACATTGCTCATTGTTTAACTTTTTGTTTGTTGTTTATTTAATCTTGATCCGATGTGGAAGATATCTTCTTATTACTAGGATGGGGAAGAGAGCGCATTCAGTCTGATTTATTCATAATAAAATATTTTTTCATCATACTTTATGTACCAAATAGATTTTTTTATGTTTAGCATTTACATTGACTGCTCTGGCTCAGCTGTGTGAATTTTTTTTATAAATACTTTATTTGCTAAAATATGTAATTTCATCTGCTCCAAAACTATTTTTAAGTTTTACCTACTGTAAAACTACACTTCCATTGTAAATTGCCACTGTGAAATGCATAAAAAGTCTACTTCTTACATAAAGGCAACTGTAAGGATAATGGTGTTGCCAAGTGACATGATTTTATGCTAAAATTAGAAGTCTTCTAAAAACTTCTTGGTGACTGAATTATTTCTGCTATTTGCCATGCAGTGTTTTCTCCTTTTCCAGCTCTAGAAATATTTACAGATTTGGAGATTCATGTTCGCCTGATTAATGTGTATCCTATTTCTTTATAAAATGTGAAGGCAAAAATTAAGTGAGATCTACAGCCTCCATCTCCTGCACTTTAAGGAAGCTGTTCAGACTAAGTGGTAGGTGGTAAGTGACTAGAGGAGGCCTGGGAAGAAACAGAAAAATGCAGTTGAATGAAGTTGGTGGGAAGGAAAGAATATATATAAAGGAAAAAATTGGAATAAGGAAGTTGCAGAAGCAGAAGAGGCAATGTGGAGGGGTCTGAAGAAGAGGCAGATAGAGGAAGGTCCACAGGAGTATGAGAAGGAGGACATAAATTGTAGGAGTGTTGTAAGAGAGATGAGCAAAATAAGGCAGCAGATAATGAAGGAGAAGGTGGGAAGCAGTTTATGTGCCAATTTTCTTCCAGAAAATGTTGAGAATATTCAACCCAGATCCTTTCTTGGGTTTTGTCCTTTTTGGTCTGGTTTGTCACATGTGATGTTTCACTCTTTGCTAGTTCAATCTCTTTGCATTTAACAGTCTTCTTGCTAAGAGGACATTTTAAATAGATCTGTATTTATTCCGTTAAGAAAATGTGAATTGCTGGTTTCATTTGGCTGTGGCTGTGCAATATGTGCTGTGTAGGTCAAACACCGCAGAGAACTTGGCTCGGGCTTCATCTCCACCCGGCACATCGCCAAGCACAGCACCACTGACTTCCACACCACTTTGAGGACAGTTACCATTCTAGATCTTAAATGAATGAATTAAGTTACGATGTTTCTGTGTGAGTAGGTTTTGCTAGTTGTTTCCTTATGTTTAAAATGTTTGATCTCAACAGAGCTGGTCTCCTTTTATATCTAAATCTGAATTTCTTTCTCTGTTTTCTGCAGCCTTTTCTGCCTCTGTTTTATTTCATTTCTTTGTCTTTTAGTTTTCTTTTATTTCTCTAGAAACATGTGTCATGGGGGAAGACCGCAGTGCATAATGAAGGGGAGACTAACCCATCCCAGAAAAGGACTTAGTTTTTTATTTTCAGAATTGGTAGTGCATCCACAATGACAAAACATGAAATACATTGTAAGGTCTGCACAATAATATGTGGCATATCTGGGAGTTAAAAGTGATGTAGAGGGTGGGAGCAGCTCTGAGCAAAGGAGGATGAACTGCTGTCATCCATGAGGGAGGTGGTTTCGAATTCGATCACAACCTTTCAAAGGAGATGAAGCTACACCTGTGACATCTGAATTGTTTAGTTTCAGAGGATCGTTCTTGGTGCTATAGATGGTGGCATGAAAAAAGCGTACCAAAAACAAAGGAAAGGAAAAAGGGAGAACATAAACAGACTCATCAGAATAGCTGACAAAACAAGAAAAAAAATCTACAGCTTTAGTTTTATGGGCTATTCTACTTTTTTTCAGAATGGAAAATTCTGGAATTGCATTGAGTCACTCTGGATTGACTTCCTCATACATATAATAGAAAGGTTTTTTTAAAACTAACATCTATCCTAACACAACATTTTCTTGATGGAAGTTAATGAAAACTGACGTATTGTTTTTTTTCTTCTGGAGCTAATCAAAATAAAATTTTAAGTTAAATATTTCAAAACACTTTCTGGACCTCAACTGGAAGAAATGGCCCTTATCAAAGACTGCCTGACTGCATACAGTGTCATGGAGAAACAGCCTGGGCATCTACCCAGATGTCTTCGCTATGACAGTGGACAAAACTAGCTTCTTTTGAAAAGCTGCATGAAGTGACAATAAGTAACTATTGAGTAGACTTCACTGAAATGTCTGTTAGGTGATGATGACCTTAAAATTTGAGGCATAAGAACTTACATTCTTTCCAGAACTTAACTTACTTTTTCCTGTTGCAAGTCTAGATATTGTCGTCTAGATGTTCAATGTCCAACCCATTCTTGGAACCTGACGTTCTTCTTCTTAGCTTTCTTTCCCAAATTTTATAGTTCATTTGTTGAGAGAAAAAGGATTTCCTTTGCAATCTTAATGACATCAGATTTTGTTTTATTATGAGGTGATACTTCTGCTCATTATGCCACACAGGGAAGAGAAGGTCCTCAGTCTGTGGATATAATAGAGTGTATATATACTGAGATTTTTTTTATATCTGTATATATAGTTTAGCATATATATACACACATTAGATAGTGTGTGTTTGTATGTATATCTATATATATGCTAACATTTTGTATTTTTCTCTCATACAAAAATTAAGTTCTGTGTTAGAATAGTCTTTCAATCTCATAGTGCATGCTGACACACTTCAACATTTCATTCTGTGTTGAGCTATCCATGAATCTCAGTGAATGTCAGTTAAGACAAGGAAGTATTCAGGGAAAAGAAACTGCCTGTTGATTAATTCTTTTGTTACTTTATACTTGCTTTACAGGCCAAAGTTCAAAAAACATCAGTTCATCTCCAAGCATAGAGAGCTTGTCTGGAGGACGTGAATTTACAGGATCTCCACCTTTGTCTGCATCAAAAAAGGATTCCTTTTTCAGTACAATCTCCCGCTCCCGTTCCCAAAGCAAAACTATGAGCAGGAAAGAATCGGTGAGTTCTTTAACTTTTTAAGTTATTTTAATGTCACACTGCATTACTTGTTAGAGGCAATCATTCCTCCCATTCATTAAGCACTTGCACTTGGAAATGTTTCCCTAAGCACACGTTAATGGCAAAAGCAGAAATAAGCTATTTCAACTGTTTCTGTTGAGTAACATCTGCATTGTGGCTTCCATCCCATAATTCTACCTGAAATGAAACTGTGAAAGCACCTGTTGCCTCTGAGAAAGAGGAGAGCAGTCATGTAAGTTTATTTGCTTTGTTAGACTTTTGGTGTAGTCCTGAAGTTAATAAACAGTTCTGTGGGAAGCACAAATGCTCAGCAGATCCAAACGCGTCCATCTGTTGTCCCTGAAATTCCTTAATACATCAGAGGTTTCCCAGTGTCTGTAGCATCTGTAGTCTGCAGTCACAGTTCTATTCTTGCACAGCTCTGACCTTCCATTTGGCCGCAAGAAACTATGATTTAAACAGATTGTTTTCATCCAAGAAAATCGGCTCTTGTCATGGGTGTGTTCCAAAGAAATTCTCATGCCATCAGATATATATGAATAGCACTACTTTGATAAACCTCATATGCCATGGAGCAGGAGGATTCTTGTTTATTTTATATACACGTTTCCCATTGTCTTTCTGCTGATTAGAAACTGGTTACATAGAAGAGGGAAAAAGTTGTATTTTTTGTAAGGTGAAGGCATAGTGGTTTTCTCCATTCCATTTTCACAAATGTATGCTCATATAACTTCCTATTGATTTCAATAAATAGGAATTATAATAGGAATATTTCTATATTACACCATTCAGGTGGTGTTCAGAGCTAAATATTGTGCAGAAGTTGAACCTGAACATCTCAGCATTTTTGTCTTAAACAGCAGGATCTTTATTAATAGTCCCATCATATTTTCAATTTGATATCTAAAATGTTCTAATGAAATGCGCAGCTTTGCTCAGCTTTGTTCAGTTTTTGTTCACTGAAAGAGAGGATTTAATTCTTGTTCTGCAAGCTTTAATGTTGTCTAAAGAAAAGCTGTGTTTTGTGTTTAGTCCACAAGAAGCTATAATTTTGGTTTGTGTCCATTTAAGAGCTATTGAATTGAATTTAAAGCTAAAACAACAACTTAGTATCTCTCTGCTTGTCCTCACGAGTTGAAGAAAAATAAATATACCAATATTGGACTTTTCTTTCTATGTGGTTTAACAAGATCTGAATCCAGCTTTCGTTTGCAACTTTTGTCCAGGCTAGAACTTGGGGTTTTTGCACTACTAGAGTTTAAGAATAATTCCTCCTTAGTTATCTAATAGGAGACATAGAAGAATTTTCCATTATAATATTCATACTCAATTAGAATCCATTAATGATTAACATGTTTTTCAGTTAAATAAATTCCCACAATCATGATATTTTATTAATGTCTTTTTCAAGGTTTTGGAAAAAGAAGTGTTCATTGGAACAGATTTGTAGTCCTTATGGTAATTTTCATAAGATTGGTAATCACGATAAACTAAGCAAAGCATAAATTTTCAATTTTCAAAAGAATTCTTTGAACTATGATAGGTAATTTGTATTGTAGCATTTTATGATTAAACAGCTAGCAAAGGTTTTAGACTGCCAAAATCTATTTCCTTATGTTCAGTTTTTGACTGACCTTTAATATAGGAAATACGAATTTGTAGTAGCTCCAAGAGGAAAAGATTTGTTTAGATCTGTTCTCTGTTGCTCAAGACAATGTTTGGTTTTTGTTTTCCTGTAAATTTCATGATACCTCATTTTCCACGTAGAGAAGAAAACCCCAAAGAGTTCATCCTGAGATCCCAAAAGAGTTGCATCAGAGTTCTCTGGTCTTACCGTTGCTTCATTTACAGCTGTTTTCTGGAGGCAAAAGAAGACTTGAGAACATAATGGCTTCACATCTTTGTTTTATTTATAAAACTGAGCTGGTTTACGTTTTTACTCTAATAATTACACAGATTATGTTGTTAAGTATTGGGGGAAATTACCTTTGTTGGAACATGGCCATGCATCAATTGCTTTCTAAAAAGATGGTTTTAAAATCAGTCATTCTTGGTGTGATGTATGAAAGAGAATCCATTTCCTCTTCATCTTTGTACCAATAATTAATGCCTTTCCCAAACAAAGTGGAAATGGAATACACATATAAAAATACATCCTTCAACATGGAGTTAAAAAATTTGATTTTCACAGTCCAGAGGACATTACTGTAACATTGTCATGGGATGAACAGGAATGTCGTCATCACAGGTCACACTTGGAGTACTGTGTCCAGTGCTGGGCTCCCCAGTACAAGAGACATGGACATACTGGAGAGAGTCCAATGAGGGACCACTAAGATGATGGGAACATCTTTCCTGTGAGGAAAGGCTGAGAGAGCTGGAACTGTTCAGCCTGGAGAAGAGAAGGCTCAGGGAGATCTTATCAAAGTGTATAAATATCTGAAGGGAGGATGCCAAGAGGAGGGAGCCAGGTTCTTTTCAGTGGTGCCCAGTGACAGGACCAGAGGCAATGGCCACCATTGAAACATCAGGAAACACTTTTTTACTGTGAGGGTGACTGAGCACTGGCACAGGTTGCCCAAGGGGGTTGTGGAATCTTCATCCTTGGAGATATTCAAAAGCCATCTGGACATGGTCCTGGGCAACTGGCTGTAGGTGACCCTGCTTGAGCCTGCTTCAACCAGATCACCTCCAACCATCCCTTTCAACCTCAGCCGTTCTGGGATTCTGTGACAGGATAAACTGGAATGTGACTTGTCTAAATTCTTTCTTTCCTAAAGCCGGTCCAACATGTTGGACTTTCTCTGAGAGAACTGTGATCAAAATTGATACTTAACTTGATTCATTGCCTCCAGGAATAGGATGTGTCCATTTCTCATATTAAGGACTTCTTAAGTTAGTAACATTTGCCTTATATTTAGTCTTCTAGACCTTATTTTCCTCTCAAATGCAAAGATCAATGGAATGACTTTTTTACTGCTGTTGTCAGAAACAGATGTCCCCTGTTTTATTTAGTCAAGGGCGTGAATCTACAGCCTCAGGGCTGAATGCACAACATCAGATGATGTTTTGGCAACCCATGGCAGCTTGATGGTTTTCACATTACTGTTGAGTGGCACTCAGCTGTATGTTAACATGAGGCCCACCAAATGTGTTTGGAAGTCTGTTTTGTGTTCAGCAGTGGGATGGTTCCCTACCTCTTTATACAGTTTGCGGCCTTCTGGCAGGAATACCTTAGGTTGCAGGCTCTGGAGCTGTCTTCCTGTAAACAAGAACAGGAACTTTTAATCTATCATGCACTCCAGTGCCTGTTATCTTCTGGCTGGGTCAGTCTTGCTGGAATAAAGTCCTAGAAAATTTCCTCTCATAGCCTGCCTACTGCGCTCTCCTTTTCGGCAAGAGTTGGGAAATTGGATGCATTTGTAATCCATTTATTTCTCATTATGTTTCTTTTACTTCTCCAGCAACCGTCAAGAACAGTCTGCCCCTCTTTTTGGCAAATAGCAAAGCTGCTTAGACGTTGATTCTGGCAAATATGGTTGGCTGGTCTCAGTTTCTGGCAGAATATTCTGTAAATTGCTTTCAGCCATGGAGATATGCCAGAGAGGGAACTTTGAGTCGAACAATATAAACGTTTTTAAAACTTCCATAAGAAAACCCCAGGAGAGAGATGGTTTTGACTGAAAAGAAAGTTCTGATTTGGAGAAACTGGTTAGTTTAATAAGTAAATTTCTACATGAAAGGTTTCAAGTTAAGAAAAATCAAATTATCCATTTGGAAAATATGTTAGTTAAAAAATTCCCAAGAAGGAAACAATTCTAAGGAAAATCTGGAGTAGTTTATTTTCTTTACTAAAATAATTTACAAACATGGTCAATCAGAATCCTCATCTCTTAGCAAAAAAATCCTAAACAAAAGTGTCATGCATCATGCTGGTTTTGATTGCAGAGACTTTTTAATTAAATCAAATTTGACAACATATGCTATTGTCCCCACAAGCAGGTCTAAACAACTGTTACTGTCTGTGGTTTACATAGCTAGTCTGACTGATTTGAAGTTAGTTATGAGTACCCCTACAGGTTAGAAAATTAATGTATGCCATTATTTTCAATTAAATAGACATCTGCTCTACTGATTTAGGAACCTGATTTTAAGCATGCAAATTCGACAGTTTTGCTCAAGTAGAAGTGGTATACAAAAATCAAAGAGATAATCAAATAAATACTAGACAACCACACAGAAAAAATCATGCGTGCAAAAATTCCTTTGAAGAAGAGCATGCCTTTTGTGCATGGTACACGTCTTGGAGGCTTTTTTTATTCCCATGTATCTTTTTCCTGGCTATTATTTTTAAAATCTCTTTTAAAGATTTTAAGTAAAATACTTGTCAGTCCATACTTACCAATGCCAAACTTTATTTAGAAATTTATTTAGATACTATGCTGAAATGTCCTTTTTTAGTTAAGCATCATAAAATGTGCCCAGAGTAAGTTAGCCTCTGTGTACAACAGCCAATTCCTTGATCAGTATGTTGGTTTGTTAGGCCTAAAGTTAAAGACATGGTGATTGTTCTCAGTGCCATTAAGTTTAACAAACTTCAGTGCCTTAATGTTTAACTGCAGTTAAATCTGGAGGACATTTGTCTTCCCTATTCTGATGTGATAGGCCAATTCAGACACCTGAAAAATGAAATTTATATAGTACTTCAGTGCTTGTCTAATTTTAGGGATAGATGAAAAGAACATTAAATCTGAGATGCTGCCAGGTCATGTGAACTGAGTTCGTGGAAAAACCTCCGAGATATTTTGGAAGTGTGATTTCTTTTCTTCATTGCCTTTCTCAGGCTCCCACAGTGTGCTGTAACTCAAATGAAAGAGCTGAAAACACTACAAGGAAAAATAAGCTGCCTTTTAGGGTTTGTTATTAGAAATACTTGCAAGTTTCATACAGTTGAGTAAAACAACAGCTGTATGCATGAG